AGGATTATCTGTTGTTTACATTTAACATGGTGAGCTTGTATACACTGTATAAATAAATATATTAAGTGCATTATAGTAACATTCATCTGTCACTTTATCTAAGAAGTCATACCTACGTTTTCGTTATTTCTAAAGCAATGATTGACAAATTAATCCTTGTACTTGATAGAGTTATTTACATAGTGTTTTTTGATTTGGACAACCTGTTGATAAGAATTTAATTTCTTTCTCTCTAAGTTTTCCTCATTGAAAAATCTATCATGTTGAAACGGAATAAGGAGAAAAAGCTGTGATTTTTATTATTTTATATTGTTAATAAAAGGAACTTCTGATATTTAAATGAGAGACTCTATAACCGACTGGTAGAGGCTGTGCCGTCCACATGTTAATATTCGAGGGATTCAAAACACTTGATTCTATGAAATCGAGTCCCGCAAGCTAGTTTACAGAAGACAGTCGGTCCCACTCACGTGCTTGCTCGTGCTCAAACGACTGGCCGATTGTCACCTCGGTTGTCATCTACTAGTAGAATTAAGTCATTTACATATTTTTATGCTTTAAATGACAAGTCAAATATATATTTTCCTGATGAAGGTCATTATATGATCGAAACCGGTAGATAAATAAATTAACGTAAACCCACTCTGGTGTTCCTGACGTGTTGTTCTTCATCCTCTCCTTGATTACTTAAATATATATTTTGTTAAATGAACAGATTTTATTTATATGGTAGACTGAAATATTTGTTAACCTTTTTCCGTTTTGAAACACAAGTTACTGACAGTGTTTTAAATATTTTTATTATTTAGTTCTATGAATTAAAAATCTTTCAATACCATTACATTAAAGTATATAATCGTTATCAAAGTGCTACAAAAACAACGTATCTGTTGAATAAGTCCAAAGTTTACATCTTAACTTGTACCTGTCAACGATAGGGATACCAGTCACCTTAAAAACGGGAAAAACGAAATAATAATAATAATAATAATAATAATAATAATAATAATAATAATAATAATAAAAACAACAACAAAAAAACAAGTGTAGAAGAAATTAGACAAATCGATATAGCACATGTCTCTGAATTTGATTTGTAGATTTGATACTGGGGCAAAATGTTATAATTTATCTCGAAACTGTTTCAATTTGTGTTGTTGATTTATCAAAAAAAGTCCGTATCGGGTGATTTCATATTTGGCCTACGAGTGAAAACAAATGCGACAGCCCTTGGTCAATATGAAACCGCTCGATTAATCATATCATAATATCATAATATTAACTTGTAAAAAGATAGAACAATTTATTTATGCAGTTTTGAAAATGACGTGCTGTATAGATTTAGTAGTGTTTATGCTGCATAATATCAATATAAAACCATATTTCATATTTACAGAACGAAATAAATAGATGAATATGTTTTTATTTCATCTTAGTGTTTGAAATTATTTTTTTTCCAATTAGATTACAGTACTTTTAAAATTTGAATTAATTTATTTCAGTAAATCAGCTTTAAACAACCAGTGCTACAAACCAGGTAAATCGAATGAACTGATTAACCGACGCTATTCCGCAGGTGTGCCTTGGAGGCGGAGCTACAGGGATATTGTTATTTTGTTTACATTTGTGCGATGCACAAGACAGTTAGTTTAGACGCTCGTCTTATAATATCGTGGACATTTTTTTCATAAAAAAACATAGGATTAAAAGAGAAAGTAGCCGTGAAAACAAACATATCTATTAACTTACCTTTTCTCTCCAGAAACAAAATATATATGTAATAGATGGTGAACAGTTTTTTTTTAATCCGAGTTTTTAATCTAAACGTTTTAACTGAAAACAAAACTGGTTTTCTAGCAGTCTTCCGGTCCTTCATCGTTTTCGTCCAATACTGTCTATTTTACCTGAAGGGCATCTATATAACTTCATCAAATCAGAGATATATTTTGTTTTCTATGCAACACAGCAGTTAAAATAGTACAGCGATTTATTTTGCATGTTGTTAAAAGTTACCTTAGAGAACTTGTGGTCTTTAGAAAAAACACCTGGGGAATTCTATCTTGAATGCCCATGTGCAATAACTGAGACCCCATTTCAGGCAAATCAATACTTTGAACAATATATTGTCAGACCACATGGAAAAGGTTGGGAAGTTCTTTTTTTTGATAAAATTTCTTACTGGTACTGAATTATATTCACAATAAAAAGGGCCGAAAAGCTACAGTAACTATGAAATTTTGAATACAAATGAGAAAAGGTGTTACATTTAGGCTTATATTCCAATAAATAATTAATAAAGTAAAAGAGCAACATTGAAAACAAGGTAATGCTGGACAGGTACCTAACTTGGTTCTAACAAATTACTCGTCCTTAGACGACAATCCTTCATCATGAATGCGAATCCCAATGTCCTTATAAACATCATAACTATAAATAGAAAATTTATATGAAATTTATTGAAATATGAATAATATTGGACTAGTGCATATAATGCTGAGGACTGACAGGAGAGAGACAGGTCAATTCCCAGACTTCAGCGACTTATTTCCTGACTTGGCGTAGTACCATACATATACGGGATGGGCGGGGTTGGGCCTGTCAGTCCTCAGCATTATATACACTAGTCCAATATTATTCATATTTCAATAAATTTCATATAAATTTTATATTGGACTACATGTATATACATGCTGAGAACTAACAGGAGAAATTTAGAGACCGCCAAGTCAGGTGAGCAGTGGCTCAAGGATTTGTACTCACTAAAGTTTCAAACAATTTCAGTTTGTGTCTATAATTATTTATTACACCCAACTATAATTAAAATACATGAAATGCATGTCACAATACTATAAAGTATACATTATATAAAATGTCTATCTAATCAAACAATTGATATTATTTACTACTCTAGTATTTACAAATGTACACATTTTTATTGTGAAACAACAGCTGTATTGGTAGATAAAATAGCATCTGCAAATGCTGTATCATTAGTTATAGGCTTATTATAATACTTTCTGAAATTACACTCACTTGACCAACCAGCAGTACGTAAAATGGTTGCTAGGGGCAACCTTAATTTGTTTACAATGGATACAGCTGATGACCTACAGCTATGAGGTCGGAAAATATTGGTATCTATACCTGCATCTTTCATAACCATTTTTACCCACCTACCTATTGTATCTTTTGTTACCTTTTTATATGGCCTACAAAAGCTAATGAAAAGAGCAGTTTCTGTATTTCTTAGATTCTTTGTATCATTGAGATGACGTTTCAGTAGGCTTACTATGCATAATCTTTTGTCCGTGTATTCTTTAAACATCAACTCTTTTAAATGGTAATTAGGTCTGGATTGCTTCAAAAGATCACCGAATCTAATTTTTACATGATGTGTAGAAAACTCTATGTTCCTAATATCTATGCAATGCAAAGATTGTAATCTTTGTCCTGATAAAAGACACAACAACATAACAACAGTTAATGTCAGCTGTTTCAAATTATTTACACTAGCCGAAGCAAGATAATCAAGTACCTTTGAAGCATCCCAAGTAACATTATACCTAGGCAGGGCTGGTCTTAAAATAAACACACCTCTCATAAATCTTTTCACAAGGAAATGTTGACCAGCATTTTCTCCTGACAAAATAAATGAATTTATGGCTGAACGAGCCGTACACAAAGCACTGTAACCAAGTCCTTTCTTATAGAGCATTGCCAAAAATTCTAAAATATTATTTACATTTGGTGAAATGGGATTAATGTCCCTTTCAACACAAAAACACATCCATTTCTGGAAATAACTCCTATATTGCTTTATTGTTGTATTTCTCCATGAATGCAGTATGATTTCTGTAACATCATCTGATAGTCATTGGTCTTTAAGATGTTGCCAGAGATACGGAACACAGCTAGATGAAGTTTTTTCAGTAGAGGGTGTGGGTACTGATTGCCGGGTAATGTTAGTAGATCTTCCTGTACTGGAAGAAGATAAGGACATGTTATTGTCATTTTCAGTAGCTGCGGGAACCACACTTGCGTTGGGCATACCGGTGCAACTAAAACAGCTTCTGCTTCTTCTTGTTGTATTTTCTGTAGAGCTTGACTGATACAACTAAAAGGAGGAAATAAGTAGTTCAAATTAGAAGCCCATGATTGTAAAAATGCATCTACAGCTATTGTATTAGGGTCTTCCCTCCAAGAATAGTACCGAGACACTTGACAATTTATCCTGTTTGCAAACAGATCAATGTCAGGATTCCCATAAAGCTTACAAATCATTTGAAATACATTTTTGTTCAGCATCCATTCGGTATCTAAATTAAAAACCCGTGACTCTGAATCTGCAGATACATTATTTGAACCTTTAATATGTTCACAGGAGAGCCATATCTCTCTTTCTATAGCAAACAACCAAATTTGACGAGTTATATCATTGAGATTGTATTTCATAGACCCTTGTTTATTGATGCATATGACTGTAACTGTATTATCAGATCTTATTCGTATATGCTTATTGCGCATTTCTTTGCAGAATGATTGAAGTGCTAACAAAACAGCCTTAAGTTCAAGATAATTGATATGATTTGTACGCTCTCTTTCATCCCATTGACCACCTGTTGCTAGGTCATTCATAACACTACCCCACCCCTCATTGCTTGAATCTGTAAAGATCACAGTATCAGGCTTTGTGCTATTCACTGTTTTTTCACATGTGGGTAGATTAGATATTCACCATTGAATATCACTTTTACACTCTTCATCCAATAGAACAGTTACTTCAAAGTTCCCTTTATTGACCATCAAAGCCTCATTTTTCCTAATCTCTAATCGTTTGTAATATATAGCAGCATGTGGCACCGCAGGAGAGCATGCCACTTATTTCCCAATTACTTGAGATAATTCTCTGATAGTACAAGTGGTCATTGATAATATCAAAGCACAGCGGGCTACAATTTTGGCACATTTTTCGTGGGATACACTGTCATTGTGATGCTATTTAGCACAAATCCAAGAAATTCAATTATTTGTGTAGGAATGAAACCACTTTTGCTAGGGTGAATAGTCAATCCTAAACTATCAAACAAGGAAACTGTCTGATAAACATTATCTTTACATTCTTCATATGTATCCCCATTTAGCAGAGTATCGTCAATGTAAAATACATTTAAAAATGATCTTTATCTAAGTTGAGAGGAAACACATTTTAATAGTTTCGTAAAGTACCGAGGTCCTAAATTCAAACCATTTGGGAGGCAAGTATACTGGTAACAAACCCCACTGAAAAAGAATCTCAGATATTTTCTATATGGTTTTTTCACATTAAACTGTAATATGCGTCCTTTAAATCACAACTAGCAAAGAAAGATCCCGGTTTCATTAATGTTATAGCTGACTGCAATGTTTCCATTTTAAAATGCTTTGAGTCAATAATGTCATTCAATCGTTTTAAATTTAAAATCAATCGAATAGTTCCAGCTTTCTTATATCTTATAAACAAGTTTGAAATAAAACCAACATCTTTGCTTAGTTGTGTATCAGAGACCTTTTCAATCACCTGTTTACCCAAAAGTACATTTAATTCTGTTTCAATTAGCAAACATTCTTCGGAATTAAATGATATAGGATTAGGAATAACGGTTTGACACGCTAATTCAAGAAAAGGTATTTCTATTCCTTTTACGGTATTGATAATCCAAGGATCAGACGAAATATTTTCCCAAGATGAAACAAACTTGCTTATTTTACCAGCTATAAAGTTATTAGGTGTATTCTTAATGTTAAAACTATGTAAAATGCTAACCTCTGGTTCCTCACAAATTAATGTATCTGGATTATTTATTTCCACCCGTTTTCCTCCGTCTTGTACTTTGATTTCTGGAAACGACGTTTGCCTAAAAAAGGCTTCTTGTACATGGGTTGTTTCCCTTTTTTGGAGTTTGAGTAAGGGTGACTGCGATGCTTATTGAAACTTCCTCTTTCTGACCTTATTGTTAGTTTTAATGACACAGCCTTTGTGTCATTTATCTCTTTTATTTTCTTGCCCAGTTCGTCCCCAAATATCCACTTAGTGGACGGTTCGTTATCTGTGCTGCACAGTCGGGATTTAAACTCCTGATGCATTCCAGACTTGAAGTTCTCTCGTCTTATTTGAGTTATCTCTGTGAATGCTGCCGATAGACAGACTAATGCATTTGTGCATTCTTTTGTTTTTATTTCTTTTTTCTGTTTTGTTAGGCATTTCTGTGCTATTTCAACAACAGATGAGCACGCTGTTAGAATTAAGCCCTGGGTTTTCGATAAATTCATGTCTTTATTTCTCAAATTTTGATGGGCATCTTCCCATAGTTCAATGTTAACCTTAGGGAATCTCATATTAACAACATTTGCAGGTCTGTGAAAGTTTTCAAGTACCTCTTTTTGATCTTTCTTGGAAAGTCTTTTTCTAAGAGACAAATTGATATTACTGGCAAGTTTTTCGTGGATTTCGTCAGTGACATTGTCGCTTTCATTGTAAAGTTTGTTCATTGAGCGTAAATCTTCACAGTCACTTGTGTCAGATTTCTCTTCTTCTGAAGAAACGTCATCTAGTTCATATGACGCAGGAGCATTTGAGGAAGCTATACATGTATTTATGATTTAATGATTAACGTGTCGTTGCCCTGTCCTTTTTATGTTTGGGGTCCGCCTGGGCTCCTTGCCATTGGTTCTTGTTGCTGGGTCATATGGGGGTTGCGTTCATTGAACGCCGCCTTTCCTTGTTGATCTTGTTTTTCATATTTTACTCCTTACTTGTGTGGATTCATTGCCACTTTCACCATCACTCACACAGTCATTCTTGTCATTTATTGTTTTTTGCTGCAATGCCTGGACTGTCTTTAAAAGCAATGTTTGCTGGTGAAGCATAGCTTGCAATATACCATCAGGCATACTTTGGCCCGATATAGTGGGGATACTTTGCCCCTGTTCGATGGGGATACTTTGCCCCTGTTCGTTGGGAATACTTTGTCCCGCAAGTTCAGCAATATTTGACTGACAAGATGATTCATTTTGAGAATTAGCACTTTCCATTTTTAAATCAAAATATTTTGTCACAAATTTCTCACAATTTCTTATAAAATCCGTATATCTTTCTCATGAAAGTCATAAAATCCAAAAATTTTATTTAAAAAGTCATTATTCTATTAAATATTTGCACACTTTTATTCTTAAAACACAATATTCCAAATATATAACCACTACATTGTACATGATATCACAAATCCTTGATTAATTAATCTTATAAACCACCGCTATTTATCACTGTTTCTTCTAAGGAATCTACCTGTAAACTGGGAATTGACCTGTCTCTCTCCTGTTAGTTCTCAGCATGTATATACATGTAGTCCAACATTAAACATAATCCTTGACCTGCCAGCGAAGACAGATTCTACTTTGCAAAAGGACGTCGCCAATATTGACAGGAATATTTTTTTTGTATTTCGGGGTGTCAATCAATGTCGCCTGACAAAAGAGGGCGGAGACATGTTGAGAGTGTACAAAAAATATTTTAAACACTAAGCCAGTTAAATTTATTGGTACGCATTTACAAAAATAAATTGGTCGCGCAAATTTTATTTTTGTAAATGCGTACTTATAAACTTTAATTAATCGTCTCCTGCTGAACTTGAAATATTTTAAAGCTTATTTCATATATGCCTTATCGTACTTACCAGCCGTTGTATATTGGTACATTGTATTTAGCAATGTAAAAGTAAAGTAAAATTCAATTACACTTTATTGGACTTCATTGATGCATTGTTCAATACTCAATGTCTTTATATAATATGTTGCAAGATATAGTTTGGTTTATTATATTTTACTATATTATATTTATATCACTCGTATACAATGGTATGCTTTAATGATACCGGATAATACATTTGCTTTTATATCAAATGACTACTGCGCCTGATCATATTTGAAATAAGATGTAAAATGTTAGTTTAATTAAAGTGAGGTTCTGTTCATGTCAAAATACGGTACATGTTTACACGATATGGTTGAATTTTTAGCCATAGGACATAAAAAGGCAAAACACCTATGTTATGGGGAAATAATTAAAAAATACATCATCGTGACCAAGCTTGTTTTCAATGAATTTGTTTCTGTAATTACATGTATTATTCAATCCTGCAAAGTTAAGAAATTTATTTCTTAGGTTTGATTTTAAATATAACGACTGACCTCTTTAAAAGCCAGAGAAATGTCAAAGAAACTGTTGGCTGTTCTAATATACGTTTTACGGTTTGACATTTGAATAAATAAAAGATTGGAATATCCTTCACAAATGCTACTTTCTTTTGCTTTGGCTTCGCCACGAATGCCAAGCAGCACTTCACGAGATTTTGATTTTTGTCTTTCGATATCTTTATCGCCTGAATGCAGTTAGCAAACTAGAATCTTTAACTATAAGTACCTTCTTCAATGTCTAATTTCTGTAAAAGCCCAAAGTAGATATTGGTCCTCATTTATTGGCAAAGTCCTCGGTTATTTCAGAAAACAAATTCAATTTAAGATATTCTTGAAGAAGTTATATCGTCCTTATTATATTGCTAAAATATCTACAAATCACAACATAAAGCTTATATGGGGCAAACCTCGAACTATTCTGACAAACTGCATAAGATGAAATAAAGGAATAACTAGCATCCGATAGAATGCAATGTCACAGTTTTTTGTTCATTTTAAAAAGAAGATCCGGCTAAAATCAAAGCTAGTTCTATGACTTGAACAAATGAGTTTCGTAAAAATGTATACAAAAAGCTCTGACGTGCCTTCCAATCCTATCTGAACCCTATTTTGGGAGATAATTATTAGTATATAGTTTACAGACCGTTCCCTCCAATACTACTTTATTAACAGAATGGTATTAATATGAAACAGCTGGACATGTACTCAAACATATAACACTCATAATTCCATTCTCGGCTATTCCGACCGCACTATCCGGCCGCTTACACGTTATCTCCCCTTAAATAATGAACAACCCACAACCTCTGATCCTCTCTCAAATTTCCATTTTGTTTAAGTCCGCCAATTGTTTTCTCGTTTAAAGCTACGCTTTCTATTTATTCGGGACCGTACACCGCTTTTCATGGAACTTCACGGAAGTGTTTCGAAATTCAAAATTTTACCATTTCATGTTTAAATGTTGAATTCTACTCACACCGTTGCTAGGGGGCGTGTATGGTAGTTTGCACTCGATAGTACCGTCCATGAACAGTATAAATAAAACCAAGCCTTTAACATTTTTCAATTTTGTCGTTTTGTACTTTCTGTTGGGATTTTTATTTTCTCTAATCCTTAATCTCCATGTAATGATAGATTTGATCGATTTCCGAATAAGAACATATCATATTAGTAAGGTCCATTGATAATCCTTAGACATATAAACAGACTGCTTCCTGCATAAGTATTATCTTGTGGTGCTATAAATTTCGATAAGATTGATATATGTATATATAAGTGTCACTAAAACGTCAAGCTAAAAGTGTTCACATATGATACGCATTTTACAACAAGTGACAATTAAAGGCTTACATGTTTTATTTAAATCATTTATGTCAGGAATATTAATCTAGTTTACAGACAATATTTTAATTTATCTTTAATTGTTATACTTCCTTATCCTTAACCTTTCCTCATGTTGCCTGTATTGTGATTATATAATTTGTCTGTATTTTGTTATTGCACTAAGATAAAGTATGAACACGTCATACAGTCAAATGCATTATTTTATATTGATTAATGAGAGGCATCCATTGACGTATAGTTAAAAAACTATCTATGGTGTGGATTTGAATCATGGTAGATAATAACGGGAGTATGGGAGTTCTACTTGAAATACATTTAGAAAAAGCTATTTGTTTTTAACAACAGTAAAGCTAATAAATCGCAATATATATAGTATGTGTGTATCATCATCCAGCCAAAATAGGTATAATCATTTACTAATACATGTAGGTAAATTGCATGATTCTTAAACTTTAAAAACTCTGATATTAACAACAGCGAACTAATTATTCAGATAGGGCATTTTCTGTGAATATTTGATTTTTTTCTTTTTCTTTATATCATTGTAATGTGTTGGATTTAATTTAACAACAAAAAAAAAACCAAACAAAAAAAAACCAACACTTTTTTATAGACTGCACGACTGCACACGCCTAGCTACAGATCTTACTTATATGCCAGTGAATCGATTAAAAAAATACTTTCTGTTTAAAAGCGGTAACACATGAGTTCAGATGTTTAAACAAAGTTTAAAAGCAAATCGTATAATTGTAATGTCAATGTTTAAGTAAATGTGTGTCCCTGAATTCAAAAGTGTTCATAACCTGATCTCAATATCTTTACATGCTTCTTTAAATAATTATACCAGGCTGATTCTTGTTTATAAAAACACATTTAACAACCATGACATGGGTACGATTCACAACAAGCTTAAATGCAATAAATTCTCAAACAAATTCTGTCTGATTCTACAAGTTTCTCTTATTTCTATTGTTTTGCTATTTTTCATATTTCAGAACCAATGCTATTCTAAACCTTGATCATATTTTTTTCTTAACATTCAACAGTAATTATTTGAAAAGTATCATGCATTTATCGAAAAGAAAGAGATCGATCATTTTGGAAAACATTAAATCAGAACATGTTGTGTAATTATTGAGCAGTGTTCTCTATAACATATATGCTTGTCCGAAATTGAGGCTTCCATTTTGTTACATAGAAGTTGAAAAACAACAAATACTCTGTTTGACCAATGTAAACTGACAACTTTAGTCCCGGAAGATAATATATAATACTTGCTTAGAGGCTGATTTTAACTTAACGATAATTTGATAGACAATCTTATCTTCGTTCTATTATGTGAAAATCCATGAAGATTGACAGCAAGATTTTGTCAAAATCAGCGCGTAAATTATATTCCATTTAGCTTCTTTCTGCATCGAATAAGTCAACTGCACTATTAAAATTGTCAAACTGTATATCAGCCTTCTGTATATTAAATGTTTACTTAAAACTAATTCGCACCTATTTATTTATATTTAAGGCATTTGTTAATGAAACGTGCGTTTGAAAACTCTTATTACTATTCTTATCAATTCCGTTAGTTCCAAGGATGTCGATAGAAGTCATTAATGCTACCCAGAATGCATATGAGGGTATCGACTATGTGCCAGGGTAATTTCGAACATGCAAATGAATGGTCGGTGTAATGAATATTTGAATAATGTTTTGTTCTTTCAATATCTTATTTGAAATACCCGGGAACAGTTTATTATAAATAACCGCTAATGAAACGTTTGTGTATTGGTTTGAGTACTTCAAAGTGGTCCAAACGTTAAACATGTAACAATATAAATTGTGTGGAAATGTATACATAAGGATTCAAAGGACACATTTTCGTACAACCCAAGAACCAAAAGATTCTTCTTATGTTTCACGGAACTTCTCGACATTAAAATCGGCTTTGCTGTTTGTCTTTTGTGGTTCTAGCAAAATGCATATAACTACGACGCATCATATTGCTTTAAAAAACATCTTTTAAACAGTCTTCAATATCGATTAAAAAAAGGAATGGCTAATCAGACAATAGTCATTTAAAATGCAATTGAATACCACACTATGTTCAACTGAGGGTAAAAACTTTTATTGCAAAAAATATAAAAATGTACGAAATTCCTACTGATTATGTCTAATATAAATAAGATAATATACAAGCTACATTTGGAAGCTGCAATCCTTATAACTAGCCAGGCTTATTTTGGCTCTTTCTTAAAACTAACGCCCAGTTTTGTAATGACACTATGAATCCCTATTATAAAGACCTATAACATGCAGATTTTGAAATGTCACATATCTTCTCTATTTGTAACCAAAAGATGCCTATTTTATATTTAAAATGAGACAGTATAACAATTGTTAGTATTTTTCCAAATATCAAATTGAGCATAATTTATCTTTACACCAATTCTTTATATAATATACGTTGTAATAGTACCTCAACAACTGTAAAACGTATCTTCACATTGTTTAGCAGTACACTGTTTATTAAAGCTAAATTTGTATAAAATATTAAACGTCCTGTTTTGTTTTTATGATATAAAAAAACAACAATTAAACACATCTCTTGTTTTAGATTTATTTCTTTTTGCCTTTTTCTTTATAAATATATGCGTTTCTGCAGACCAGAAAAAATAAAACAACACAAACATAATACACGCAGCAATTCAGCACAACTGCAAACAGACCGTTTGACAAATAATAAGGAATTAGTTGTACCTTTTCATACACGATGCTTAGTTTCTTATTTATATGGAAAAAGGAAACACATACAAAATGTCAGATTGAACACGTCTGCTTATTTAAAAAAAATCTCTGAAGACATGCAAAAAGTACTCATGTTGGAGCCTTTGAAGAAAAGTTTTTTTAGCAGTCATCATAGCTTGTTTCAATAACTATGACATTCAATATCTTAGTTCTTAGCAGAAACCCCTTCATTGGTGACCATGGCTTTGATAACGCCATATAATGTTAATTTATGAAACGTTTAACCTGTTAATATTGAAAGGTTATATCACTATTGCCGTTAGATATGCTGTCATGAATTTGTAAAATCAATTGTTCTTGAAATAGTTGAATTTAACTTTGATGTTTTTATGCTTTAAGTAGGATTGATAATCTATGCAATATAATGCTATTAGGTATTAGCTAAATCTGTATGCAATGCCTTCGTTATGACTTTGCTCGAATACCTTTATCACGCTCACACACAGTACCACCACTTCGTTTTCATTCGTTTGATTTTGATTTGAAACAAAGTCTCATTTCTTGAATAACGAAAAGGCTACAGGTACTCATTAAAAATGGCAAACTCATTTCTCACATAGGTCAATATTTGTATGCTTCCACAAAGCAATTAATTAATTCCATAAAATACATGAATACACCAAAATCAACAACGGACGAAATTTTAAAAGAAATGATAATAGATCCGGAATTATCCCCACTTCAACTGTCACCCTTTAGAAGTAACAATCCGTCGCCGTGCAGCAGCCACACAAGCACATCAACCAATTGCCAGGATGAAAAAGAAACACTGAATGACGTTGACATAAAAATTTATTCCATTTACGGTATTTTTTCTTAAAAAGCATACAGCTAAATATAGATTATGGGGTAAACCCAAAATGACATAATTTAAACTATTTTTAGAACAAATCACGTGACGTAAAAGTATACCCGATTTTTGTACGTTAGACAATGGTGTTTCTATAATTCTGATATTTTATAACCCTGATGAAGACTCGTGAGAGTCGAAACGTCGGTTAGCATCATTAAATAAACTTTAAAACTTATCCTGTGTTGATTGTTTGTTCCACTTTTATTGTTTTATTGAATTCCATAAAATATTCTGTAAATAAAAAATATCACATTCTCACTTAGATCAAAGGATACTTGTTTCTTTTATGAATTATTATAGACGACCCGGTTAGTTTAAAGACAAATAAAAGCTGACCAGAAGATGAATAGCAGCTTAAGCAATGACTGTATCGGGGTATTGTTAATGTTTTCTCTATAGTCCAGTGTTTAAAGACATCCCTGCTTTTGAATGTTATAGCCTATTATCTATAACATCATAGGTTGTCATTTCGTCTCTAGTAAACGCCTTTAAATCAGCATATTGTTGCGGTAGATTCTCGTATACACGTCCGGTACATTCCTGCATTTCTGTTTCGTATGATTTATTGTCAAAGCGATCAATTTGGCTTATGAAAATACAAAAATTATTTACGTTATTGATTATCATGGGAACGTAATGTTATTCAGTTAAATATGTATATCTTCAACTAAATCAAGGATAATTATTAACCACTCCTTCATTTTTCGTAGATGATGAAGATGATGCATGACTATTAACATTCTCTTTTGACGCTCGTAAATACAGATATTTGTATGTATGGAATTGCTCCTTTGAATTATATTTACTTACAATGCTTCAACAGTTTAAAAATAAATCTAGATGTTATGAAACTATTTATCAAAAAACGAAACAGAAACTATACCTTTTATGTGACGACTTAGTGCATGATTTTCTATCTGCAATGTAGAGGATTGTCATATATTTGCATTTTGTATATAAATAAGTAAACATATCAACAAAATATATTGAAGTTTTGTACATTGTAATATTTTATGCAAGTTATTTTATAGTGTTAAACGTATTAAACTTGAAACCTTGATTAATATTGGTGTGAAATGTATAAATGACGCACATAATGATAAAAGCTTTACATGGATCTACGACTAATGTGGTTAATTTATTTATGATACTTCTTTATCACCTAATACGTGTGAAGAAGTTTTGACTTCATATATTGTAAGAGCGCACTAACTGTTTCAATCAGTTGCAGTTATCTTTCAAACTGCCGAAAAAACGTTTAGACGTATTTGGTTACTTAAATTCAAATTATAGTATGAACAAAATTTAATATATAATTATTTGCCTACCATTGTCAAATTATGATCTGGATTAAAACCTAAGATCTTTGAATCTTATGATAAAACCGGATTGAAAAATCAACAAAAGGGGTTATAATACAGATAGCAATCATCAAAGTCATTACGACATAGTTACCTGTTCCTTTGGTTTTTCGTTTAAACCAAATCAGTATCCCAGCTGAAGTACCAATACATATGACAGAAATTATTCCCAATATAATTGTAGCAATTTTGAAATCACTACTGTCCATAGTTTCTATGCCGACATAAACACTGGGGTCATCTAAAACAAGATTGTTTATTATAAAATAAATAAATGTTCGAACATTTTTTTTATTCAAATGATTGAAGAAATCTTTGACAGAACTGAGTTGCCAACGTTTTGATGACATGAAATATGCCAGTGGTACTCACCCGTAACTTTCTTTATGATTTTTCTTCTACAAATTGTTTTTTAAAATTATTATTCAAGGAAAACCCATTAATATGATAACAATACAAGAATACAAAATAAAAAAAATCGATATTTATACAAAAATCATGAAACCTACCTTTTTCAATAAGGAAATAATACTGGTTATATATTCCGACGCTGTTTTCAACTGTTAAATGATATTGGCCTAGGTTTGCCTGAGTAACATTGAAAATATTTAGGTTTGTTTCCAGTCCTATTACAGATATTTGCACATCCTTATTACTTTGTAAAGGTATCCATTCATTCGAGATTTTTTGGTACCATTTGAAACCATCAGAACTTGGCGTTGGATATGCAATAGCAGTAAATGTCAATGTAACAGGCGCACCAATAGAGCAAGTTGTATTCGAAATTGCTTGCCAATCAGGCCGTGGAAGACCTTAAATAACGAAACACTGTTTTACTCTTATTGACAGTTAAGTATTTCTATCGATACATAATGTTAACGAGAAGAATTAATCAAAGGCTTTAACATAATATATTGTGTGTTTCTTCGCACGCTGATATATTGGGGGCTAATATTATCTATATTTATGTCTCCTATTTACCCATATATTTTTAATTTAAGCAGTATATTATTGGTGTACAAAAACAAATGTACTTACAATTGACAAACAAATTGAGTGTTTTATTTGTTATAACTCCTAATTCATCTTTTCCTACACATGAATATTCACCCTTGTGGAAACAAGCCACTCTCTGACGAACAAATCTCAATTCGTTTATGTTAGCTTTTTCAATTAAACTTTTCTCTTCGAACTTAATTTCCACACTTGATGCAGGGTTACCGCTTATGTTACATGTTAGTTGCAAGTTAACGTAGTTCTCGTTGATCGTAACGTTTGTTTCACCAGCATGTTCATCAACATATAACGAATGCACTGAAGCACGCTCTAGATGAACGAAAATGCATAGATGATTGTCGTGTAATATATTTCCATTGGATAATTTTACAATAATTTAAAATGAAATATGTTTGATTTCACCTGATGGTCGTGGAGGTAGTCTTGAAGCAACTTTGGCATACTCATGAAATTTTGAAGGTGTGATGTACATTATGATGTATTTTATCACATGTTATAAGAAATATAATTTTGTATTAATTTCTTTCTAGAAATAAATCTATAAACATTTTAAAATAATACAATTACCAAATAGACAAATACATATAGATACAATAGATTGCATTTACCTTTAACATAGAGAGAAACTTTGTTGGAGGATAGTGCTTCATTTTCTGGCTGAATATTGAAAGCTTTGCAATAAACTTCCTTGCCACTATCTGTTATACTAGGAATGAATGCAAGCGTTGATTCAGTACCGACAACTCTTAATTTTTCTGTCCGTCCTATATACCATACAATTATAGGTAATGGTCTGCTATCGCTTGTTGTACATTTGAATATTTCCGAAATGCCATCGGTAACGTTTAGAGAACTTACCCTAGAACTACTTCCAATCTTTAGTGATACCTTCGCCACTCTAACTGTAAAATGAGAAATGACTAGTATCAATTTTACTACAGCATGTACAGTACTCTAAGTATATCAAAACTTAATCAAGATTACTTGGGAGTTATAGTTTAGTTTATAAACAAACACCAGTTCAATGGATACTATACTATAAAGAAAAGATTCTTTTAAAGCTTCGAAAACAAAGCAAATGGTTGACAATTACGCAATCAATTGAATTAACGTCCTTAACGGTTTTCAGTCCCTAACACTTAAATTACTGGAATAAACAACATTAAGGAAACACACTTTTTTCCACTGCATTACACCACCAGTTCTGGAATTCTGGAAACGGTAGATCCTTCGATAACAATAAATAGGCCAAAATAAATATAGCAATCAAGTAAATAGTAAATAAACATTCTCATGAACTTGTTTAGCTCTTTCAGTTCTTTAAGATGATGGTGAAGAGACAAAGATACGTTACAAAAACAGCGGCATGGGCGTAAATATGATAACATAATAAATCATTTACCGGCAAATCTGATATTTACAGATGACTGTGTTTTTACTTCATCAGATGTATCATTCATAATCGTTGCACCACATTGAAATCTGACGGTATGGTCAGCATTGTCATTGAACACCGTGTATTTTCGAAGTACTAAAGTAGAGGTGAACATCTTTTGAAATTCTTTACATTGCCCAGGTGTTTTTGTGACAGGCTCTGAATTTGACCATTTAGATCCAAATCCATCCGACGACTATTAAATAGGAATATAAATTGTAACAATATAGAATTTGACATCAGTTACTAAATTAATCATCAGTGTGCCCAAACCACGGTTTTTTCTCGTCATTTTATGGTAATAAGATAAACAAAAAAATATACAAACCGCTTAATTCAAATCTCAAAATCACTTAAGTTCTTTATTTTTTTATCAAATAAAATATCAAATATAATATCATAAGTGCCTAAAAACGGTTGAAAAACGAGAAAATAAGAAAAAGAAGGAATCATAGTTTTCCCGTTTTCTTGGGAATGTATTACCTGCAAATAATACCATATAAATGATGGAGTTGGAAAAATGCACCCAGTTGTACACTTTAAAGTAACTGCATTGTTAGTTAGATCCTGATCCTTACTTGGTGAATTTTCTAGATGTAGTGTTAAATTCTGAGGAATTTCTGAAAAAGAAGTATACAGATAAATTTGTTTTCTGCCTTTGATTATCAAATTACTGACTGCTGGAATGAAATAATGGTTCTTAAGTATGAACATTAAATATTTGTTAATGTACCGATTTGACAGTTTTTGTGTTATGTCCACATAATATGTGCATCGCCTGATTTAATAGCTTTTAGCTTTTTGGGGTAACATTAGCAAAATTAATACATCAGTTATGTATTGAGCTCTAACAAAGATGTTTATTTAGAAAATATATATCAATTTTAAAGCCGGCCTGAATGATTAATTACAAAGCATTTGAATGATTAACCGAACATTTCTACAAAAAAGAGGGTCAATTGCCCAAAGCACTCACCTGTGGACCGACTGTTATTTGTGTATAAACAGTGAAAGGTAGTGTTTTCTATTTCTCAAAATGTCCAAATGTCATAGCTGTACATCAAATGACAAAAAAGAAGGTAACTGTGTCATCTTGGGCAGGGCAAAAGTTTGACCCCAAGGCTTTATTTAAAAATCTTGAAAAAAGTCTAAAAGACAATGTTTCATGTAGAAATCTAAGCTCTAGCATTCTCCTTTTCAAAAAACTTTGTGTTTCTGTTTAATGTATGTAATATAGAAAACTTATGATCCCCATGGCGGAGTTCAATAGGGCCATAAATTGAACAATGTTTATAGAGGTACACAATGTTTAGTGTCAAATATCTAAGCCTAAGATTTTTTACGTTTTCACTTTTTTAATATCAGGAAAACCTATGACCCCCGGGATGGGACCAATTTTTCACATTATAGAGGCAAAATGTGTACAACATTGATATTAGTCCACTAGACGATGGTTCAGCTCTAGCCTGTGTCAATTCAGAAAAAACGATTTGTAAAATTTTCTACTATATGGACATAATGATAATCAATGATTCTCGGGGCATGACACATTTTGATCCCAGAGCTATAATTTTAACACTCTTGGTAGAGATCTACTTATACATACAAATATCTAACCTCAAGTCTTTGTCTTTCCAGAGAAGAATATTTTTAAGTTGTTCTTATATACATATAAGGTAAACCTATGACCCCACGGGGTGGGGCCAAATTAGACACTAGAGGTAAAACTGGAACAACTTTGGAAGATGACGTATATACAATATCATTCAAGTACTAAATATCAAAGCTTCGTGCCTTTAAATTTAAGACACGAATATATTTTAATTTGCATTTAAGAAACATCTTTTCTGGCCCCGTCACCTACTTATGCAACAGCCCGTAGCTATTTGAAGACCTTTGAAAAGAGACCACCCAAGGATCATATATGTAAAGTTTGGTTAATGTGTAGTCATTGGTTTCAGATGAGATGTTGTTAAAAGAAATTATTGACAATGTATGACACACAACGCACGACAACTGACTACTGACGCATGGGCATCACAATAGCTCAAAATAAGACTTAAATGTGTTTTCCTTGTAAAATATACTTATATCAAACGACATCCGGCGAGGAGCCTGTATTGATAAGAAAGCACGATTGATATATCTTTTCTAGGGTTCAATTGCACTCAATAATGTTTAAGAATATTTTCATTTATAATTATATATACATTAAAATCAAATTTCCTCCGTAGCGGGGAATATTTTTTTAAATTTGCGATCTGGCCATTTCTTGGGCCTATTTAAACAATCCAATCATTTCCATATTGCGTTGAAATAAGAGAAATACATATTTTTATTAACATCCTTGGTCATAAAACCGCTGGATGCCCAGCATGTGACTCCGTTTATTGTCCCTGTTATAGAAAAATAGGATCGGGGATCCGTCCACTATTTCACATACAAGTTTTCAAACAATATATATAACAAAGATTCAACATGCAAATCAGAATAACGTAGGGCTATATGATAATTACACATTGAAAACTATTTACATAGTCAAATACATATATGTAGTCATAGAACCAAATAGAAATCTTTGAATTGAAAGTTCCTGTCAGGAGTTTTGATAATGCATGTTGTTGTTTTTTGTCTATAAGTATTTGCTGAAATAGATCTGGAAAACTTAAAAAAAACGCGAAATATGGCAAAATTAAAAACGTTCATATTTGGTTGTGCAAGCTCAAGGAAATAGAAACTTACATTGTCAATTTTTCGTTACACTAACAATATATATCCTGTGTCTCCCCTAATAATAACTTAATGTCACATAATTTTCCAATGAATTATTAAAAACCAGCAAAGAGGCATTAACATTATTTGTATCATAGTTTGGTGAGCTTTCTGTTGAAAATGCGTCAGAGTTAAATCGTTTACATATACATGCACAGTGCGTTAACTGGAGTGCAGGTATTAGTTACCCGCACTCCTGAGCACGCCCATTGATTGGTTCAATTATGCTGGGGTTTACTCATTGTGACGGCAGAGAAAGGAAACGCGACATAAATATGATATTCAGATGCTCGTTCATTGGTTCCTTTTTTCCGGGGTTTCATAATGCGACAACAGGGAACGTGTTTTTATGTTTGACTATGATACAAAAGAGAAAGAACACCAAAAACACTCGGCAATCTGATTAATACTCGGGGGCTACGCCCATTCGTACAAATCAGATAACCTCTTGTTTCGGTGCTCTTTCTATTACATATATGACATTGTATTTTCTAACGCTTCAAATTAAAAAAAATCCATTGTTACGAGACAATTACATTGCACCTACTACAGACCATAGTTTTTATTTAATTTTCACGGATGCGTCTCGTTACTAACCTAGGACAAAAAGGTCAACATTAAATGGCTTTACTCATTAAATATACATACGAGGGATGTTCGAAATGAATTGCTTATTTTTATCTGGAGACTTCATATTTCAAGTAAGCTAAATAGTGTTCATTTCACGCTCTCGAAGGACTCCCCGTTGCTTGAAATGCAAAGTTTTAGCCGATGTAGGCGTCACGGTACGCTGATTTAGGCACAGTAATAAGGTACTGATGAATGGCAGATCCAAGTGCCTGTCGGGACTTGTATTTCGGCCCAGCAAGGAAGGGTTTCAATTTCGGAAAAGAAATCACATGTGACAAGAATACGGGGGGGGGGGGGGAGGCAAAACAGTTACTTTTTCTTTTTTCAAAAATGCCGAAAATATTGCGAAGGTATGAGCGGGGGTATTGTCATGTAGAGGACGGATATGCGTAAAACCAGCGACAGGGCGTCGTTTCTTATAATACTTTATCAGTTTCTTAAGTACTGCGTCTTTCCAATAATTCCCAATGATACTTTTGCCCTTTTTCACTGGCACTTTTGTTGCTAACTTTTCTGACGGGCTCAAAATAATGGACCCAAATTTCATCAACTGTGACGACATTGGCAAACTGTTTTTTAGTCATATTTTGGAAACATTTGAAGCAGCTTTTTGGCCACCTTAACGTGTTGCCTCTTTTGCTCATCGGTCAACAGATGTGGCAACCATCTAGCAGAAATTTTTCTGACTTTCAAATGCTTCTTCAAAATAAAGTGAACCGTTGATAGTGATATGCCTACATTTCGTGCAATATTACGAACTGTAAATCTGGCATCTCTTTGAATGATATCCTTTATTTTGGAAACGATTTCGTTACGCGATGCAGAGTTTGGCCTACCTGATTTTGGTGCAATTTTGATGCACTCTACACAAGACTCAAATTTCTTTTCCATCACCTTACTGTGTCATAAGACACACAAGAAGGCCCATAAGCTGTAGAGTGTTCAGTCATCAACTGCTGCAAAGAGCAATCGAGTTTTGAGCAAACTTTCATGTAAGCTCGTATTTCATCTTTTTTGTCGACGCTTCTACCAACAATTTTTACTACAGTGGTCGATGACTGCGTGTATTTAAATGACAAATTGTATGTCTTACACTTAGTCTAACATGTACATTTATACACCGTTGTGTAGGTATTGGATTACCCTATACAGGTATGTATTGGTTTTTATTGGTCCCACGTGGATCACGAGATTGAGGACAATTAGCAATTCTTTTCGAACAGCCCTCGTAATATACAATATAATTCTATATATTTTAATTAATCATATATTCCGCCATTATCATAATTTCATAGTGATATTTCTTTTGTTTCAAAATAATTTACTCTCATCAATATTGATGCCAATATTTAGGAGTATAAACAATTTATCTCTTTCTTTACCTATAAATGTAGTTACAACATACCAGGATTGTTTTCAGACATTTAAAAAATGAATTTATGAAGAACTTATATCATGACAATTGTATTAATACAAAAAAGAACAATGTCATTTCACTTATGTGCAACAACTTACGTTCACATTTTGTGTCGCCCTCTGTTTTCTTGAACAGTATTTGATCATAGTTACACTCAAGACACTTAGTGTTCCATGATGAACTGCAACTTCTCTTACAATGCTCAATATGCGGGCACTCTGAAAATATTGGTTTTCAGTCTCTCATAACATCATAGTATTTAGAATTGAACAACGTGTATGCTTCATTATTGCTGTATATTCATAAAACAAAGTCAAATGTATAAAATTAAAAGAACAAAATGACATGTAAAATTAATTTCAATTTCCCAAATGGCAAAATTGATAAAATGATAAACCATAACAGCACGCCCCGTAAAAAGAATCCGGACACTGGCACTGACTATTTTTAAATTGACCTTCATTTAAACAATATGTATAACATTTTACTTCGTAACGTGAACTGCCATTTGAATACCCACAGTCGTCTAAACATTTATCAAAATTAAGATCACTATCGCAATAAATCAAGCGAGTATGATATCAAGTTCTTCAAGGAACAGGAACAAACTGTCCACGATTTCCATTTGTTCCAACATATGTTTTTTAACCAGCCGAAAGCACATTAGACCCAACATGAATGTTTGCAAGATCAAAGGAAATATGAGCAAAATATCACGATCACTGATATATAAAATGATACGACTGAAGCAACAAATCAACTTAAATTCAAAAAAATATTTCATTTCGCCACTATAGTCATACTTTAATGTTTTCTTTTCAACGATACATAATGTTGCTGTGTATGTTTATTATTTATAGATTAGAAACGTTTTTTCTCCAAGTTGTGATTTTAAAAAATCTGCTGAGTTTTTTATAGTATACTCAATACATTTACTAATATAATTAGACAAAAGTTAAAAAGATGTCTTCATCTGCTATGACGCGTGTGTTAAATGAACATATAATAGCTTTTATGTGCTATTATGATCATATTTCCATTGTCAAGGTGAGATGAATTTAATATTATATTATATATTTCAAAACATTGACTGTTACTGATTGACCAACTGATGATAAAGTAACATGATTAAGACAAAATGTAAATCTGCCTTAAATATAAAAAGACTGTCCTTTTACTAGATTTAATATTATTTATGAATATATAGCTAAAATTCTTTAGATAGCAAAACGTAGCCTTTGTTCCTCTGACATCATATTCCGTTCGTGCGTCTTTTCCCCGTCTTTTCTTTTTTTAAACTTATCGTCAATTAAAAATTGCATTATTATAATTTCGTCACTGGATATACAGGGAATATATCCTTATCATATCCGTGTATATGTATAGAATTCATTGTTGTCTTTTGTTCTTAATGGCATATTTCTGTTGGCACATTCTTTTACTTCAATTGAAACGTTATAAGTTACAACGCAACAGAAAACTTGAATCACTTTTATTGGCGCAGCGATTGCGTCGTTGTTGCACGACTTAAATTATCATCATACAGCGCGCAATTCCCGCACTTTCCCACGCCTAAGGCTGTTTTATGAACTTGTCAATTAGGATTTGCAGCACTTTGAATTGCTTTTCAACATTAAATAAACATTAAAAATTAGCCATAGTGACATGACTTTAATATTCGACTAGTGTTTTGGGTCATTTCTATCTCATTCAAGCTATATTATCCGATATATGCAGTACGAACCATGCTTAAATAAAAAAGGTACTTGATTTACCTTTAAGATTGTTGTCTTTTGCAAATATAGTTTCAATTATACATGTATTTCTATCAATTTCCTATTACATTCTGGATTTTTTTCTTACAATATTCTTTTTTTTTTAAATTTTATTTTCTTCGTTAAATAAAAATAACGTTAATCAACAATCCCTCTCCCTTCTCTTTCTACTTTCTCCAATTTTTTATGGTCTTGTGTTTTTGTTAGTAGTTTATTACTTCGTTTTAATGAAAAGGAGTTGTCATTTTAGTGAAAAAAGAACACAAGTTAGTAAAACAGCTCAAAGAATCAGATCGCAGACACAAGGAAAATCTCAAAAAGCAATTCTTAACAAACTGGAATAGAGATAGTTTTACCAAAACTTTTAATACAATATGTTTAATGTCGAAAGGTTATCATTAGCAAATAACCAAGTATAAATGTGTTCTTGTTTAAAGTATCCTTACGCCAAACTAGTATAACTAGTATAAAATGGTGCTTACATGTATGTTTATATAAATAATTAATTGACTGGTTATATTTTATAAGCTGTCGATAAAGTTTCATTCTGTTTTGTTAAAAATGGTAAACTCAAGTACTGAAAACGACTCACCATTTTGTTGACAACACTTCACAAGGTATTAAGTGATCAAGTAGATTTTTGCCTCTCGAAATTAATATTTATTGGTAAAATCAGAGAGTTTATAAAGAGTGTTTTTTCCAGTTCATATAATTGTGTTTAAAATTCACCATGCAAATAAAGCATTCAAAACAACACTAAGCTCAAGGGTAAATGTACTTCAAACGACAGCCAGTCGGAGGGGGTGATGCTCCCCGAATAGGTTTGAACACAGACAATTAGGTTCTTGTTGATGTTTCAGATTTAATTTTCTAGACAAAGTTCAAAGTGTAGAAATGAAAAAAGGACAATAACTCCAAAATTATGCAAAGTAGAGTTACGGTTCTGATTCATTTCACTTTTACTGAAAGATATTTATCCACCGACAAAGTTTTTTGTTTATACCTCTTGTGGTTTCAGACTTATGCCCCGGACAAAGTTAAAAGTATAAAAAGGACTATTAGTCCGTAACCAGGCATTCCTGAGTTACTGTTCTTGTGCAATGTACTTCTACTGAATGTGTTATCTCTACCTACTAAGTTCTTTGGTGATATCTCTTGTGATTTCAGAGTTATGTCCCGGGCAATGTTCAAATGTAAATTTAAGGCAAGACAGATGCTTTGCTGTGCTGCACTTCTACTAGATGAGATCTACCCACCTCATAAGTTGTTTATTGATACATCTTATGATTTCAGAATTGTGTCCATGACAAAGTCCAAATTGTAAAAATGATAAATTACAAATTACCCAAAATAACGTAAGGCAGCATTACGTTTCTTATGCACTGCATCTTTCTTTGAGATTATTTTATTAACTCAATGAGATTTATTAACCTACAATTATACTGTTGAAACCTCATGTAGTTTCAGTGTTATGTCCCGGCCAACATGCGGACAGACAAAGCGGCGTCTATATCTCGCCCTTTGGGTATCATAAAAACATAAAAGAACGTATAGGTCGATAATTACGTGTTTTTATCAAAAGATGAGAGATTCACACGCTAAGCAGTGGATGAGATAAAACATTTATGCATAATTCGTGTCATATGTTGAAAAAACATTCTTAATTTACGTCAGGTTAGCGCCTGATTGATACCTCACCTATTTACCGATGGCAAATGGAGAGAAAGCGCGTACGAATTGCGCCACAGTTGCTCTCAAGGTACCTGAATTCTGTTTGAAATCGCATAAATGTAATCGAGACTTGCGGTGAAACATGGAAAAAAGGGTGAACAAAACAAGTAAGATCTTTGAAAATGACAGCGGTAACCCATGAATATTCTAATATCATATAACATTGCTTTATAATTATTATTTTCCATTTACATATCACTTTTTTTTAAATTGATCATCATATGAATATTGGAGCCTTAAATTGCCGTTCAGATCATAACAGATCATAACAATGAATAAGCCAATAAATAAAAAAGCAAGGAGCTAAAACAATAGCAATACAAGAAATAAGTAGAATTATAAAGATTTATAAATATATGTGAAACTTGTAGCAAATTTTCTACGAAGATAGAGTCCTTTATTTAAAAAAAAAATATGAAAACAATCTAGCTCTAAACGGCTGTGGAACACGAAACACAAACACATGTTTCTTTCAATGTCTCTAAACCTTCCTCGTCAGTATTAAACGTGTCGATAATTTTAATTTTGATCCACGATAAGATTTTTGGAAATGTTGTTATTCATAACGTATAAATTGCTCTGTGCAATAAACTAGATTAATCCTTTGCAGACGTTTTTAAGTACCGTTCAACATTTATGTATTATTACGTCTTGATTGCTATATAAGTTTCTGTCAAACTATTCCCGTTTATTGTAAATGATTTGATTAAAAACTAGATAAAATACGCAATTAAACTGTCTCTTACCATCATTGTGACGGCATGTCAAACATGTATTCAATTAATTAATTAATGTTAATATACACACACATAACGTACTTCAATAAAGTAATAACAAACAATAATAATTGAAAAGACGTATGGTTGATTAATTACTAGTGATAAGGTGCATTTATTCGGATGCAAAATAGCCGAGTCTTTTAGAACTTTGAATAAGACGCATGATTTACTGCGGAATGACACGATTTACTTTGCAAGTCGTCAATAAAAACAAAAGTATATAAAAAAACATTCACATTCATCAGACCCAAAATTTAAAATTGCTTGCTTTGTTGCAAAAGTTTTTATTTACATTTTCCTCAAATGGAAATACAATGTTCTCTTTTCTCCGTATACAAATAATGGACTGTGCAACTGTTTGAAGTTTTCCGAGATTTAAAGTCGTTGAACTGGGCTAAAATTAAATCATACGTAAACTCGTTTCGTCTATAAATAGCAAAGGTGAACTCTCCGGTTAGCTCAATAGGAGGACCGTTGGACCGTGAATCGGGCGACCTGCATTTGATTCGCGGATGGCGCAGGTCAGCTTCGTTGTGATTGATCATGAAATCCTTCCTACGATCATTCTCACTGTACCTCTGCTCTTGCATGTACATAAATAACCAGGCAACAAGGCAACTAGTACTACTAAACTTCTTGACAGCCGGTCCAGGAACGATGCGGTGGTTGAAACGTGCACAGGTAAACTCAATGTAGCTTACTGCCGTGATCCGGAGTAAAAACTACCAACAATACAACCACCACAGGTGAACTGTTTCACATTGGTGTTGCATTGGTGTTGCATTGGATTGTAATAAAACATCTAAATTGTTCAATCTTTTACTTTCAGAAACTAGTTTTTGAAGAATTTTTAAGAATATATTTTAAAATTTTGTATTCTTCCTTTTTTAATGATTTGGATAGTGCTGTGCAACTTCAAAAAAAATGGAAAGCCGCCTTAAAGCGATGTCACATATGTGAGTGTTTTTTGTTGTCGTTTTTGTTAGATTTGGTAAAGAGTGTGATGCCTTTAATGACTTAAACATGTAAACTATGTTTATGCTCATATTTGTTTTTTTATTGTTGGTCATTCACTTATTTAAAGTTTAGATATCGTTTAATTGGGATAAACTTAATAATGTCCAAGGCATAAATAAGATACATGGTGTTTGATTCCTGACACAATAAGACATTGAATAAAGGGAACCCGTCATGTCACATCATAAAAACGAGTACTACTAGTACGACGTAATGAAATGTTCGTGTTGTTAGGCTTCCCCATTTAATTTAAACAACTGTGCAGATCTAAACAGACATTTGTTTACGTAGCATTTTTTTGTTACTCTAAAAGTATGCAGTGCACAGCTGACCATTCCTTAGCAGCCATGTTACGCGTGCGTAAAATCCCGCTCGTATAAGAATGTAATAAGGTTATCATTGTATCATTAAGGAAATGTTCCTTGTTAAAAGCAACCAATAAAGAACTCGGCTAAAATTGTTTATCTTTGCTAAAATACATATGCGCATATAATTAAGTACATGACTATTTTATATCAATTATTCTACAATTCAGTCTATAAAGACTGTATTATTATATATTTGTTTTAGAATCACTACGCTAAAAAAAAAGAATAAAATGGTGTTTATCAAATATAATTGTTAAAAATTTTAAAGGCCAGCTAAATCAATAAAAATGGTTCATACAGAATGTAGGAAGCCATAAACCTATACCCACACTATCGAATCCGTCCCAGGAACCAACCAGTACTTAGGAATGAGTGTACAGTTTTTTGCCCGTCAGCTGACGGGTTTGAACCAATGAGGCTAGCGATCATTAGACTATTAGTCCGACGCGTTAACCACTCGGCCATGCCGCTACATCGTATTTGCAAATGCAATATTTTTGTTTGCAAAACACGTAATACTTAAATCATAAGTCATGGTACGAAAATATTACGACATGTTTGAAATAATATCTTTAATTTTAGGTTAACGTACATAACTTAATGCTGCAATTTTGAACTCAAGTTTCTTACATCAAAATGTAACAAGTTAGAGCCCGAGTTACCTCAATACGTTCAATTCAAGCTAATTTAATCAATCTAATAGCCATGCAAGCAACAAGCGTGAAACAGCCTTCTGATAATTTTACGTGTAATTACTTGACATATTTCATCAATACACAAGCTACTTATAAAATTGCATGATGATTGACTTTTTCTGATTTTTTTTCTCCATTTGAATTGAATCAATATTAAAAAATATCAAAATGTAACATAGTGATATTGTAGTTTTGTCTAATATATAATATAAAAAAATGATAAAAAGAGCCGTTAGATCAATAGCAGCCAATACTATTTTAGCCAGCCTATGTTTCAGGAAGTTTTAGTACAAATGATTTGTTCAATGTTAACATTTTTATATAATTATTTAGTTCAGCTTGGTTAATAAATTCTTGTAAAGGAATGATTCATTAAACTATAAAATATATCGCAAATAGTAGTTTATAAATAATAATATTTAATTAGGTATCATGGCAATTTAGAAATTTTTGGTATGTCATTATACATTAATTCTTCTAAAGTCTAACCCATCGAATATCTGTATTCATAATAGACGTAAATAGATAAAGATCCACTATAAGATTTTTGAAAATGTGATTATTCATAACGTATTTAAATGCTCTGCGCATTAAACTAGATTAATCCTATGCAGACGTTTTCCGGTACCGTTTCAACAATTGTGTATTATTACATTTTAAAATTGAACCTTTCAAAATATATATGATTTGATTAGATATGAGATAAAAAATCATTCTTGAAGTTTTGATACGACCTTTGTAACGGCATGTCAAACATTTATTCATTTGAATTTACCCTAAAACATATTGTAATTTTCTGCTGTAAACATTAAACATTAATTAAATTTAATTTGTAAACAATTAAATTTCAAACTTTAAGTTAAACTTTAAAACATTTAAGTTATTATAAATACTTTACTTTCATATTTTTGTACTATTGTAAAATACTGTTTTTTTTCCTTTATTAAAATTGTAAAATGTGTTGCTGCGTTATCTTCTATGCTGCGTTTAGCTCGTAACAATGATTTTGACAAACTCACGAAATAAAACTAAAGGAAACGAAGTTGTTTCAAAATAACCTATTTGCTCACCATTTTCACAACACGTTCCATAAAATTCGTCATTACAGGTACACTGATTAATTCCATACGAGTAAACACCGTTATAACAAATTTTGTTGCAGAATTCTTTGTCATTTGCGTACGTATGACCATAGTCCCAGTCATGACCACAATCCCTTATACAATCATCAAAATTTAATTCCGCTTTACAACAATATGGCCTTGATCTCCTTCTTGTTCCCCCACCACAAGTTCTGCTACAGTCTGACCATGATTTCCATGGTTCCCAATTACATATGTCCACGGAGCAACTCCCCGCTTCGACATTGGTAGATGTAAAATGTACAACGGTAAATACAATGAGATAAACTATTACTGTCATCTTCAATAAAGTGGAGAACTTGTGCGCATGTTAAACTATCGAGTACATATCTACAACTGAATAAAACAACAATCCAAAGAACTAAGCGTAGCTGAATAATTATCAATTTTGGCCTACATTTGTAACCAATGGTAAGATTTTAAAACCTTAAGATAAACAAGAATGTTAACAGTTGGTTGAAACAGCAAATATGGCAAATGAGATGAGTGCAATAATTTTTATAATTCAACAGGTCATAATTTGCCCATTAACTATTAAATACCAGCAAATAGTCATTTACATGATATATATGATATTGTATTTTCTAATTCAAATTAAAAAATGTACATTGTCACGAGACAATTACATTTACATTATTCGCGTTAGTACGCCTTTTGATTCGCGTTTAAAACGCCTTTGGATTCGCGTTATAACACGAATAAAGGCGTTATTACGCCTTTTGATTCGCGTTTAAAACGCCTTTATTCGCGTGAATACGCCTTTCAATTCGCGTTATAACGCATTCATTTATTCATTTGCATTCTAACGCCTTTCTTTCAATTCGCGTTATAACGCATTTTTTCGCGTTATAACGCCTTTTGATTCGAGTAATTACGACTTTTGTTTCGCGTTATAACGCGAATAAAGGCGTTACTACGCCTTTTGATTCGTGTTATTTTATTTGCGTTTCTACGCCATTTTCACGCGTTATTACGCCTATTGATTTGCGTAATTACGCCTTTTGATTCGCGTAATAACGCCTTTGCATTTTAATTGTTTTATTTTATTTAATACTATTAGGCTTTCGTACATAATTGTAGTTACAACATACCAGGATTGTTTTCAGACATTTGAAAGATGAATTTATGAAGAACTTATATTATGACAATTGTACATTAATACAAAAAAGAACATTTTCATTTCACTCATGTGCAACAACTTACGTTCACATTTTGTGTCGCCCTGTGTTTTCTTGAACAGGAGTTGATCATAGTTACACTCAAGACACTTAGTGTTCCATGATGAACTGCAATTTCTCCTCTTACAGTGCTCAATATGCGGGCACTATGAAAATATCAGTTTTCAGTCTGTCATAACATCACAGATATTTATCATTGAACAACATGTATGCTTACAACATTTACATTCATTATTGCCGTATAGTCATAAAACAATATAATGTATATAAAATCAAGTGTATAAGATTAAAAGAACAAAATGAGATGTAAAATTAATTTCAATTTCCCAAATGGCAAAATTGATAAAATGATAAACCATAACAACACGTCCCGTAAAATGGCACTGACTATTTTAAATTGACCTCCATTTAAACAATATGTATTACATTTTACTTCTTGACGTAAACTGCCATTTGAATACTCAAGTCGTCTAAACATTCATCAAAATTATAATCACTATCGCAACAAATCGAACGAGTTTGATATCTGGTTCCTCCACCACAAATATACAGGAACAAACTGTCCACGATTTCCATTTGTTCTAACACATGTACTGAACCAGCCGAAGGCACATTAGACGCAACATGAATTTTGCAAGATCAATGCATAAAGGAAATATGAGCAAAATATCACGATCACTGATATATAAAATGATACGACTGTAGCAACAACAATCAACTTGTCAGACCGTTTAAATCTTATATTGGATATTATAAAAATGCATATATTTTCTTTCGATTTGAATTGACTTTTACACGAATAAAAATGTTGTCTGCACCAAAGGTTAGCTCTGTGTGAGTATAAAACGTATTATTTATGAAAATATAGCTAAAATACTTTAGATAGCACCACGTTCGGGTAGCCTTTGTTCTTTGGCATCATCTTCCGTCCGTGCGTCTTTTCCCTTATTTAATGAAAATATTCTACAGAAGCTGTTTTCTTTCTATAAACTTGTCGTCAATTAAAAAATTGCATTATTATTATTTCGTCATACAAATGGCTGACTGGATATACTGGGAATAAAGCCTATATCATAGCCGTGTATGTGTTTAGTATTTATTGTTGTGTTTTGTTCTTAATGGCATATTTCAGGTGAAACATACTTTTAATTCAATTAAAAATGCTACAACGCAATGATGACAGAAAACTTTAATCACTTTTATTGGCGCAGCGATTGCGTCGTTGTTGAACGACTTTAATAATCAACTTACATCGCGCAATTCCCGCACTTTCCACGCCTAAGGCTGTTTTATGAACTTGTCAATTAGGATTTGCACCACTTTGAATTGCTTTTCAACATTAAATAAACAATAAAAATTAGCCTTACTGACATTACTTTACTATTTGACTAGTGTTTTCGGTATTTTTTTTCTCATTCAAGCTATATTCTCCGATATATGCAGTACGAACCATGCATAAATAAAAAAGGTACTTGATTTACCTATAAGTTTGTTGTCTTTTGCAAATATAGTTTCAATTATACATGTATTTTTATCAATTTCCTATTACATTCTAGATTTTTTTCTTACAATATTCTTTTTTTTTTAATTTTATTTTCTTCGTTAAATAAAAATAACGTTAATCAACAATCCCTCTCCCTTCTCTTTCTACTTTCTCTAATTTTTGATGGTCTTGTGTTTTTGTTAGTAAGTTGATAAAGTTTCATTCTGTTTTGTTAAAAATGGTAAACTCAAATACTGAAAACGACACACCATTTTGTTGACAACACTTGACAAGGTATTAAGTGTCCTAGTTGATTTTTGCCTCTCGAAATTAAATATTTATTGGTAAAATCAGAGAGATTATAAAGAGTTGTTTTATTTCATTTCATATAATTGTGTTTGAAATTCACCATGTAAATAAAGCTTTAAGCACAAGGAAACGACAGCCAGTCGGACCGGATGATGCTCCCGAATAGGTTTGGACAATTAGATTCTTGTTGATGTCTCTGGTAGTTTCAGATTTAAATTTTTAGACAAAGTTTAAAGTGTAGAAATGAGAAAGGGACAGTAACCCCAAAATTATGCAAAGTAGAGTTACTGTTTGATTTCTTTCACTTCAACAGAAAGATAGATACCTACACAGTTTTTTTGTTGATACCTCTTGTGGTTTCAGACTTATGTCCCGGACAAAGTTCAAAGTATGTAAAAGGGCAACTAGTCCGTAAATAGGCATTGCTGAGTTACTGTTATTTTGCAATGCACTTCTGCTACCTACTTAGTTTCTTGGTGATATCTCTTGTGATTTCAATGTTCAAATTTGAATATGAATAAAGGTAATTACTCAAAAATTAGGCAAGACATATGCTTTGATGTGCTGCACATCTACCAAATGAGATTTACCTACCTCATAAGTTGTTAATTGATGCCTCTTATGGTTTCAGAATTGTGTATAGGACAAAGTCCAAATTGTCAAAATGAAAAATTACAAATTATCCATAATAAGGTAAGGCAGCATTACGATTCTTATGCACCGCATTTTTCTTTGAGCTCATTTTACTAACTCAATGAGATTTATTTACCTACAATTTTACTGTTGAAACCTCATGTAGTTTCAGTGTTATGTTCCGGCAAACACGCGGACAGACAAAGCGGCGTCTATATCCCTCCCTTTGGGTTTCATATAAACAAGAAAGAACGTAAAGGTCGATAGTTACGTGTTTTTATCGAAAAATGAAAGTTACACACGCTAAACAGTGGATGAGATAAAACATTTATACATTATTTGTCTCGTATTTTGGAAAACATTCTTAATTTACGTCAGGTTAGCGCCTGATTGATACCTCACCTTTTTACCGATGGCAAAAGGAGAGAAAGCGCGTACGAATTGCGTCACAATTGCTCTAACGGTACATGAATTCTGTTCGAAATTGCATGAATGAAATCGTGACTTGCGGTGAAACATGAAATAAAGGGTGAACAAAACAAGTAAGATCTATGAAAATGACAGCGGTTACCCATGAATATTCTAATATCATATAACATTGCTTTATAGTTATTATTTTCCATTTGCCTTTGCATATAATGGAGCATCAACTGAATATTGAAGCCTTAAAATGCCGTTCAGTTCATAACAATGAATAAGCCCATGAATAACAAAGCAATGAGCTAAAACAATATCAATACAAGAAATAAGTCAGACATTATAAAGATTTATAAATAAAGGTGAAACTGGAACCAAATTTTCTGTGAAGATAGAGTCCTTTAGTTAAAAGAAAATTAAGAAAACCATCTAGCTCTAAACGGATGTGGTATATAAAAACAAAAACACATGTTTCTTTCAATGTCTCTAAACTTTCCTCGTCAGTATAAAACATGCCGATAATCTGAAGTTTCGCCCGATGATCCACGATAAGAATTTTGAAAATGTTATTCATAACGTATAAAATGTTCTGTGCAATTAACTAGATAAATGCTTTGTAGACGTTGTAAAGTACCGTTTAACAATTATGTATTATTATGTCTTGAATGTAATATAAGTTGCTGTAAAACTATTCCCGTTTATTGTAAATGATTTGATTTAAACTAGATAAAATACGCTATTTAACTGTCTCTTAGATCATTGTAACATCATGTCAAACATGTATTACATTAATTAATTACATGTAATGTTTATATACACACACATAACGTACTTCAATAAAGTAATTACAAACAACAATAACTAAAAAGACGTATGGTTGAATAATTACTGGTGATAAGGTGCATTTATCCGGATGCAAAAGAGCCGAGTCTTTTAGAACTTTGAATAAGACGCATAGTTTACTGCGGAATGACACAATTAAGTTTGCGAGTCGTCAATTAAAACAAAAGTATATAAATTTAAAATTGCTTACTTTGTTGCACATACAATGTTTTCTTATCTCCGTATACAAATAATGGACTATGCAACTGTTTGTATTTTTCCGAAATTTAAAATCGTTGAATTGGGCTTAAATTAAATCATGCTTTAACTCGTTTCATCTATCAATAACAAAGGTAAACATAAAGGGGAAGTTCAATAGGTAGAACGTTGGACTGTCGCGGACGGCGCAAGTCAATTTCGTTGCGATTGATCATGAAATCCTTTCTACGGTCATTCGCACTGTACCTCTGCTGTTCCTTTCGAAAGTGAAGGCAACTAG